TTTTTTTTTTTTTCTCTTTTTGTCGCGGTGGTGGGAAACGCCGAGCGCCGGTCGGCGATGTTCCGAGGAAATGCGGGAGGAGGTGGTGGTGGTGGTGGTGGTGGTGGTGGTGAGCGGCTCGGCGCGCCGGGGAAGGAAATGGCTGGGTCTTTTCGGGAGGTGCCTGGAGGAACCGCGGACGAGTCCCCGACGGGCGTCCGCGCCTGCGCCCGCTCTCCGGCCGCGTGTGCCGCTGTCGCGGCCAGGCTCGGTCGCTGTCACCGGAGCCGGGTGATGCGTGACGGACGACGCTTTTCGCGGCACCGGGGCTGCGGGGAGCCTCCTCGCGCTGCAGACTTGGCTCTGATAGACTCATCAAAATAAGAGTCCGCGTTCTGTGTGCGTTGGGAATGGGGATGGATGCCTTAGTTGGGAAAATGTAACAATTTGCTTCCCTACACCCCCCCCCCGCCGCCCCGCCGCCGCCCCCAGAACGAAAGAATGAAATAAGCTCTGTTAAAAAACGATGATTCTGACTTGCATTAGAGAAACTTCATCCCTACATTCCGCTTTCGTACAGCGAGCGATGTGGAAGCGATGTTGCTCCCATGCCACTTAGATCGATCATTTTCTTAGTTATTGCTTACTTAGAAATACAACTGCACGTAATTTATTTTTAGTTTAATATGGCCCTGAAAAAAAGAAAGGGAGGGGAGGGCTACCTCCTTCTTTCTTGGATGGCCTTTTGGCTATGCGTTCTGTGCCAATTTTAATTGCCAAGTTGAAATCGGGCTCTGATTATAGAACTGATTTGTTCTTTTTCAGTCAGAAAGTTATCTACACAAGCCAAGTTGCTTGCTGGTAATGTACTCTTATCAGCGTACATTCAACAAAGAGGAGTACACATTATAGCCAAATCAAATATTTCTTAGTGACTTCCTCAGTATAAAGTTGTAATCTAAAATTTGTTTCAGAGAATTTGCAGCCGTTTTAGTGGGTTGTATTGGTTTAGTAGACTTAACTCCCTTTCCTGCGTGGGAAGCAGGAAATGTTTCTCTTTCTCTTAACCTGTTATGCTAAAATCTGCACTAAAACTTAAAAAAAAAAGCAGCAACAAACTTAACAAGTTGGTTTACTTTCTCTTGTCTTGTATGAAAACAGCTAGGAATGACTTGCTCAGTGACTTTTGAGAGATAAGACTTTTGAGTCAGAGATAATATCGAAGTTTTCATATAATTAGTTTACAATTTGAAGATTAAAGCTTAACAAGCATGACTCATATTTCTACTCATTTTATAGTATTTTAAAATTAATTAGCACATTGATATCCTCACAGGTTTTAGTAAATTTGAATGAGGTAATACTGGAGAAAACAGTTGGGACAACTGAGATTTAGAAAGGGAGGACAATTGGTAATTCTTATGGAGAACCTGCAGGCAGGATGAAAAGACTTGCAACTAGGATTGAGGAGAAAAGGGGTTTTAGTCTTTACTGTCACACATAGTACCTTTTACTTTTAAGTCAAGTCACTCAACTTCTGTAAGCATCAGTTAATGTAGAGACTGTTAAGATTTTAACCTTGATTATAACAATAACTTGTTTCAGAAAATATGGAAGATACAAAATAGGATTACACACAAGTACAAGAGTGTACTCTGTTAATAGTTGGCTTTCTTCTAGTGGGTTTTTTTTTTTTTTTTTTGGGTCTGGTCGTGGGCCTGAACTCTGGGCCTGGGTGCTGTCCCTCAGCTCTTCAGCTCAAGGCTAGTGCTCTACCTTTTGAGCCACAGCGCCACTTCCAGCTTTTTTTTTCTGCTTATGTGGTGCTGAGGAATCAAACCCAGGGCCTCATGCATGCAAGGCAAACACTCTACCACTGAGCCACCTTCCCAGCCTCTCTTCTAGTGTTTTATGCATATTTTAATGTAGTTGAGAATATTTGTACATAAAATTTTTGTCTTTTAACTAAACATAGCTTAATTTGTATTTTCTTAAATTTCCTCCCTCCCTCCCCTTCTCCCCTCTCCCTCTCTCTATCTCTCTCCCTTTTCCACTCCCTCCATCTGTCCCTCTTTCCTTCTCTCCTTCTCTCCCTCTCTCTTTCTCTCTTCCTCCTCCCCCCTCTCCCCTAGGCCTGCACCCTGAACTTTATTGTTCAAAGCCAGTGCTCCACTGCCAGCTTTTTTGGTGGTTAATTGGAACTAAGGTTCATGGACTTTCCTGCTAGGGCTGGCTTTGAATTATTATCCTCAGATCTTAGTCTTTTGAAAGTAGCTAGGGTTACAGGCATGAGCCACAGATACCTGCCTTTTTTTTTTGGTGCTGGTCCTGGAACTTGAATTCAGGGCCTCACACTCATTGGGCTTTCTATATCTCCAGTTCCCTCCAAAGCTGACACTCTACCAACTGAACCACATCCACACTTCCAACTACTTGCTGGTTAATTGCAAATAAAAGTCTTCTGAGTAGCTAGTATTATAGGTGTGAGCCACCAGTGTCTGACTTGCACATTTCCTTAGTTGACTCAACAGAATTATTTTTCTTTTTTGAGGGGGACATCTAGCTGTGCTGCTTATGCTCCTTGGAGAGATCTCTGTATCCTGAGTAGTTTGGAACTACAGGTGGTGACATTTCACATAGCTATCATTGTTGTCAGTTTTCCAAAGGTCAGCTTTTAGAAGTATAGCTGATGTAAGTATTTGGCCATAACTTTTTTTCCCTCAGTTATATAGTCCAAGTAAAGTAGTGAAGAACACTGAAACCTTGTGTACATGCGTACATTCTGGTATTGGGGCTTGAATTCAGGGCCCTTTAATCTTGCCTGGCTTTTTTTGTTGAAAGCAGGTGCTGTACCACTTGAACTACATCTCTTCCAGCTTTTTGCTGGACAATTGGAGATAAGAGTCTACTGTGAAAACTTTTTAAAGCCCCTCTGTACAGTATGTTCACAAAAAATAAAAGAAATAAAAAAAAAAGAAAACTTTTTAAAGCTCCTTAAATACTTAGTCCCCCCCCCCCCCATTATATCATTTGATTCTAATCAAAAGTGTTGTGTTGGGCCAGTGTAGTGGTAGAGTGCTTGCCTAGCATGCACTAAATCCCAGGTTTGATCCTTATTACTGCATTCATTTTGAGGGTGTAGTAGAGTTTATGCCTGTAATCCCTGAACTGAGGCAGGAGGGTCATGAACTGGAGGACAGTCAGGGCTATATAGAAGACTGAAATAACAGAATGGCCTGCCAGAATTTAGGCATCACAGGAACTATCCTGATTAGTATTTGGCCTTTTATACTTTTTCTTGGAAGGGGTAGGGGATGGCTCTGAGGATTGAACCTAGAGATGTACACTAAGCACTCAACACTACACTACACCCCCAGTTCCCTTTTATTTTTATTTTAGTTATTTTCTTGTTGGTGATGGAGTTTTAACTCAGGGCCTGGGTGCTGTCCCTGAGCTCTCTTATTTATATATTTATTTTTTTATTTTTTGTCGGTCGTGGAGCTTGAACTCTGGGCCCCGGAGCTGGCCCTGAGCTCTTCAGCTAAAGGGAATCACTCTACCACTTGAGCCTTGGTGCCACTTCCTCCCTGAGCTCTTTTGCTCAAAAATAACACTCTACCACTTTGAGCCTCCGCACCACTTCCGGTTTTTTGGTGGTCAATTGGAGACAAGACTTTCCTGCCTAAGACTTTTCTCCCGGACTTTTCCTGCCTGGATTGGCTTTGAACCATATCTTCAGATCTCACCCTCCTGAGCAGCTAGGATTACAGGTGTGAGCCACCATCATCCAGCTTTAGTTCCCTTTTACAGTTTGATTTACAGTAACTAGGCATTTACATAAAAGAAATTTGCAGAATCCAAATCCTGCTGATTAAATAGAAGAAACATCTTTAGAGTTACCTTGTCTAGTCATACCTTTCTACAAAGTATCTAGTGAAACAGAGTCTTCAGCCTGCAATAAATGCTTTGAGTTGGACTGGGAAGGTGGCTCAGTGGTATAGCGCTTGCCTTGCATGCATGAGGCCGTGGGTTCGGTTCCTCAGCACCACATAAGCAAAAAAGAAAAAATTGGATGTGGCGCTGTGGCTCAAGTGGTAGAGCGCTAGCCTTGAGCTGAAGAGCTGAGGGACCGGACCAAAAAACAAAACAAAACAAAATGCTTTGTGTTTATAGATTGTTTTGAAAAATTAGAATCTAAATGAAGTTTGTTAATTACCAAGAACAATTATGGACCTTTATTTTATTTTTTGCCGGTCATGGGACCTGAACTCTGGGCCTGGGCCCTGTCCCTCAGCTCTTCAGCTCAAGGCTAGCACCCTACTGCTTGAGGCATAGTGCCACTTCTGGCTTTTTCTGCTTATATAGTGCTGAGGAATTGAACCCAGGGCCTCATGCATGCAAGGCAAGTGCTCTACCACTGAGCCACCATCCCAGCCCTATGACCTTTAAAAAATAGTCATGTTTTCTTTGGTTTTAGAGACAGGATTTTGCTATGTTGCTTATGCATGTCATGTTGCTCAAGGGTCCTTCTGCCTAGTCTTCCAAATAGCTAGAACTACAAGCATGTACAGCCACATGTAACTTGAGTTACTATTATAACAAATACTATGAGCAAGTGGTGGTTGTAATGTGCTTGACATTGCCTGCAAATGTACAATACTTTCTATAGTGTGTACACTTGGTTGTTTTTTCTACTTGGAAGTGGCTAAATGAAACCTTTCTGTTAAGCCAACAAATTCTTTACAAAGTGTCATTTGCTTGGAAATCTTCTTTTTTCTACTCTGAAAGCACATATCCATCAGAACTTGATGAGCAAATGTCCAAGCTTTGGAAGAAAATTAGTAGAGTCTAAAATAAAATAGTTTGAGAAAGGCTTGTCAACTTCCCATGGTATAGAGTCTAATAACGTATGAGGAAAAAATTGTTACTGATGACTGAATTGGAAAGATTCATGAGTTGAATTCTTTAATGTGAAGAAGTTTTAGGTGTATGTTTGTACTACTTACATATTCTTTTTATGTTTATGTCAGAGCCATATATAACAAAATTCTACTGGAAGGTCTGTCCGTAAAATCAAGTATTGAGACATAAGAAAACCTTAAGTCATTGCTTAATTGCCAGGGTTATTTTGTTTTAGTAGTATAGAAAAATGGTATGTCTGGTAAAGGTTATCAAAGATTTAATAAATTTGTACCATATTGATTCTCCTTTCATTAGCTGCAAATAAACAGTAATTATGCAGTATTGAATTTGATATTCATTTGCTTTAAGTGCAGAACCTAGACCGTGGGTATGCTTAGTGGTAGAACATTTGACTACTGTGTGCAAGTTCAATCCTCAGAACCACAAACAAACAAACAAAAAAAGAGACTGGTGTCAGCCCTGTTTTGAAGATAAGAACTTTTTAACTTAAATACACAACATGTATATCCTTGAATTGGAATTGAATTGCCTGTTTTTGGAGAAAAAGAATGCAACCAAGTGGCAAGTTTTTCTTTAGAATGGCAATTACCAAAGTAGAGATTCCTGATGCTTTTTTTTTAAACATTTAAAATAATACTCTGGGAAGTGGAACTGAAGTATTAGAATGGAAACATCAAATTAAGCCAGGTGTAGCATCCCTGTAGTCTTAGCTACTTGCTGAGATAGTGTGATTGAGCTTGGTTTCAGGAGGTGGAATCCAAGTCTGAGCACTATAACAACATATCCCCTCCCCCCCCCAAAAAAAAGGCTTTCTTTTTTGTTTGTTCGGTTCTTTGTGATTATCAATTCCAAATCTCAGATATTTAAGTAGTGGACTGAGAATGTGGACTTCATTAATGGCATAATTATCTTGTGTCATTTTCTCCTCTTTATACTATTTAGATGTAGTTTCCTCTACTGAGCACAGGATGCTAGGGAAAAAATAAAAAGAGGTTATTCTTTAGATTTTAAGCTTCAGTGATCTCATTGCTTTTTTTTTTTTTTGTTGGTCGATGGGCTTGAACTCGGCCTGGGCACTGTCCATGAGCTCTTTAATTCAATGTGAGTGCTCTACCAGTTGAGCCACAGTGCCACTTCCAGTTTTCTGGTGGTGTATTTGAGATAAGAGTCTCACGTACTTTCCTTCCTTGGGCTGTCTTTAAACTGCAATTCTCAGATCGCAGCCTCCTGAGTAGCTAGGATTATAGGTGTGAGCCACTGGTGCCAGCTCTCATTGTTTGTGGATACCTTAGTTTTTTTTTTTTTTTTTTCGGTCATGGGGCTTGAACTCTGGGCCTGGGC